CAATCTTGGGACTTGTCAGCTTCCAAAAATGCATGAGACAATTCCTTACAACAAATTTCGTTCTCTCTCTCTCTCTCCATATGTATCATTTCTCTCTCTCTCCATCTAGATATAGACACAGAGATAGATAAATATGTATATCTGTATCTATTTCTACACGTGCTCTCTCTCTAGGATGTATGTATCCTATTGGTTCTGTTTCTCTGGAGAACTCTGACTAATACACAGTGTAACTTAAGCTCTGTGAGCCTTACTTTCCCCAGGTGTCTAAAGGGAATAGTAAATCACCTTCTAGTGTTGTTGGAGGACTAAATGAGGTAATGTGTATAATGTCTGGCTCACAACAGGTGCTCAACAAGTGGTAGGTTCCTTCTCATACCCCTTAGTGGAACAAAGCCCCGAAACGACAGAGCAGATAGATTGGGGTACTCACAGCACATCTGAACTGCTCTGGCAGGGCACGCGGGCTGGTGCTTCCTGTGGCAGTGCTGGCAAAGGTGTTGGTGTGGTTCCATGTGTGTCCATATCTGTCTACATTTTGCCTACAGAGAAAAGACCAAATCTTGGATTAAGGATCAGGTAAATGGCCGCCGACAACCTGTGTGGCCCTGAGTGAGTTTCCACATCAGTATTGATGGCTCTATTCACTGCATCTCTACCACTTGGCAGAGAAAGGGCTCAGCTCTTTACAGTTCTTTTAACCCTAAAAACAACCTTGTTGCATTAGTTGAGGAATCTAAGGTTCAAACAGAGTAAGTAACTTTCTTGAGTCATATCTAGTTAGAAAATGGTAGAGTTGGGCTTGGAACCCAGGTTTGTCTGATCTAGAAGTCATTCTTTTTCCACTAAGCTGTACTGGTTCCTCTTCCTGGCCTCTACAAGTCTAAATATTTGAGCCACAAAATGGGACTATTTACACGTCTTACCTCAACATACTTCTGCTTTCCATTCTTTGTTGTAGGGAACAAATGAAAATAAGTATGTTCCAGTCACGCTCCATGCATTATAAACCACCCCAAAACTTAGTGGCATAAACCATTTTATTACCCACATGGATTCTGTGGGTCAGGAATTCGGGTGGGGCATGGTGGGAATGGCTTGACTCGGTTGATATGTCTGAGGCCTCAGCTTGGGCGATCCAAACAGCTGAAAGTGACCCAGCAGTTAGGATATGGAATTCTCTGGAGGTTCTGGGATGACTCAAATGTTGGACTCAGCTGGGGCGGTCAGTGCACCTACGTGCGTCCTTCCCACATGGCCTGGGACCCTCACAACATGGCTGCCTCGGGGTAGTTGAACTTCATGCGGAGGCTCCAGGCTCCACAGGTGAGCATCCTGATGAACCAAGCAGAAGATGTGTCGCCTTCACGATCCTGTCTGGGAAGTCACCGTGCATCACTGCTGAATTCTGTTGGTAGGAGTAGTCACAACCCTGTTCAGAGTTAAGGAGAGAAGAGGTAGATCTCACTCCATGATGGGAGAAGTGTCACTGAATTCTATGGCGCTTTTCTTTTTTTTTTTAAAAGCCACCACAGGGTATAAAGGTCCAAGAAAAAAGTATAGGAGAGTGTTCTGGAATAATTCCTTGCTCTCATCAATGACGTCTTTGTTTTTAGTCAGAATACTCTGCCTTGCCAAGCTTCAAACGCTCATGTCTAAACAGTGTTGAACACGAACTGGATTTGGTCGTGAACAAGCTTGTCTTGGCTTTTCCTGAAGAGAAATGCCTAAACTTTAAAAAGCTCCTTTGGCAGCAGCAGCATTGGCACTAGCACCAAAACATCTGAGAGATGTGGAAAATTCTGTAACCTGTCCAGGCGCTTGTGGGTCATGAAGACCCAGCTTTGCCTGCCAAGATGGGGGCGGGGAGAGATAAATGACTCCAGTTCTTCAAGGAGCAGGTTTTCAACCTTTCTTTTAAAGTTAAGTACTTTTAGTTGAATTAAATTTGGGTCATGTAGAAAGCCTCAGTTTAATTTTCGTTTTAAAAATAAGTTTCCATAAGCTGGTATAATTTATTTATTTTCTTCACTTATCCAGTTTAAATTATTCAGGGGCTGTGTTTTGGTGCTTAATTGGGCAAAGCATTAATGACCCTGGTGCAAATGAGAGGGAATGGCTGTGTTTACGTCAGGCCTGTTCCTGTTAGAGTCTGTCTTCTGGAACAGGAGAGTTATTCATTTATTAGAAACTATTGACCCAAATAAATTGTCTGAGATGCATTACTGCATCGCCAGGTGGGGCCCTGGGCTTGCAGCTAAAGGTACCCAAGGCCTTCCAGCATCCTGCTCACCAGTTTTTGAGCAAGGTCTTTAAAGGAATATGCCCAATAGTGAGTCAAGAATAAAGAGTGCAGCCTCAACAAATTCAGAGGTTTGTATCACTACTTTGGTGACAAGTGGTTCTTTAAATGGTCATTATTCAGAGGTGATGGTGGATAAAGATGAAAAAAAGTTGAATCCCCAAAGCTTCCTTTTTTGATTTGAAACTTTTTTGTTGCTTACTTATCCCATATGCCTCTCTCAAAACCGTGATGTGTGGGAGAAAGATGGGATTTGGAATGAGGCAGACATGAATTCATATTCTGCACAACTACGTGAATGTAGATAAGTTACTCAAACTTTCTGAGCCAGTAATCTGGTTATAATAAAACAGGGGAAATAACATCTGTTGTTGCAAGGATTAAATGAAGTATGGAATGTCAAATCCCCATTGCAAAGCCTGGCACCGAGTGAATGGGGACGCATTAATTGTTGGGTTGCTTTACCCACTTTTTGTGTCTGCAATGGCCCAGCGGAAGCAGAGGGCGGGCAGTGCCCCACACGGATGACATGGATTTGAGGCTCCTGTGGCCTGAGAATTTCCAAGGCTGAACTTACTTACCTTCAGCCTCTCTAAGCCAGGTCGTTGGTGCATTTTCCCAAATGAAATAAATCAGGGTTATGACTTGCATTTCAGAGACTTGGGAAGGAAGGATAAGAGGGAGATGTTTTTACATTTGTTGGACATTGGCTATGTGCTAGGCAACATACTGAGGGGTTGACATCCATTTTCTTATTTCCTTCTTGTAACGACCTTATGAAGCAGGTGTAATGCTCCTTAATCAACCACCCCAAAACATAGCGGCTTAATGCAACAACCATTTATTATTTCTCATGAGTCAGCTGGGCAGCTCTGATGTGGGCCAGGCTTGGCTAATCTTGGCTGGGCTTGCTCATGTGTCTGTGGTCAGCTGGTGGGTCAACTGGTGCTGACCAGCCTAGGATGGCCTTGGCTGGCTGGACAGCTCAGCTCTACTCCATGTGGTCTCTCACCCTCCTGTGGGTTACCCTGGGCTTGTTCTCATGGTGGTGGCAGGAGTCCAAGAGAGGACGAGGAAACATGCATGTTACTGTCCCACTGGCCAAAGCAAGTCATGTGGCCAAGCTCTGAGTTGGGATTGGAGAGCAAAGCCAAAGGGGACGGATTTGGAGAGGCATGAACATACGGGGGCCATGAGTGCACTTGATCTTCCACAATAGGCATCCTTAATACCCCCATTTCTAGAGGAGATAGAGGCTAGCATTGCTGTGTCTCTTGATGGCTGGTCTGCCCCCTGGTGTCTTTCTCTGCTGTGTCTTTTCTTGGCAATCTACTATATGGAGTGGGGACGCTTCCCAATCTGCTCTAGTTTCCCTTCTTTCTCATTATTTGGTCTGCATTTGAAATTTCATGTAAAAATTTTAAGACTAACCAATTGGTCTTCCTGAAACCCAGTAGAATGACATGAAGGGACAGCGCAGGTAAGTCTACTTGTTAGAGAAAATGAAGAGGAGCCAGATATGTAATTTGATGGAGTATAATCAGAAGAAAATGAGACAAATTTACATTTCTCCTCTATTTGCTGGTTTCCCCGATTTTGCCTGGGTCAGCTTCCCCTTCTCCCCGCCATCCTTTCTGGATCCTCACACCAAGTCTGAAAAAGGCAAGCTCCTGGAGTTGGCCTGGGGCATTGATTAGCTCTTTGACCTTGGGCAAGGAGGTTACCTACCTTCCCTGAGCCTCCATTGGCTCATGTGTGAAGTGAGAATAACGGCACAGGTGCTGGTTGAGTGGGTTAAAGGGGACCTGCCCGTGCAGTGCCTGCCTGCTCAGAGCCTCCCTGCAGCCACCGCGGTTCACGGCTGCCCCCAGCCGCTCTCGTGCCTGGAAATGCTACAGACTTGCCTTCACCACCACAGCAGCTCTGGGTGAGCTGCCAGGGCGGCGCAGAGAGGCTGAGCAGCATGAGGGTTGTTAATGGATTTTATGGCTTTGTTGAGTACCCTAAACTACAGTTATTAATTATAGGATGCTGTTTAGACACTGTTGCAATATATACATTTTGTTAATTGATTTGTATAGGCTCATATCTGGCAGCATAAAGAATGCGCAGGATCATAACACTTACAAAGCACTGTAATTGCCTTTTACTGCCTCTCCCTTCTCAGACAGGAACAAAGGCTTTGGTGAGGAGCACCAGCCACTCTCCTTGGTCTTTGGACTTCTGTCTAATCCAGTGTCCAGTGGCGGGTGATAAAACCTGCCTCGGTGCTCAGTAAATGCATTCAATCATTGAATAAATAAATAACTTTGTATATTTCTCTATCTTACTTCCTTACCTATTCCTTATGAACGCTGAACTGTGTGTGATATTGGCACCGCATATATGCAAATATGGTCAAGGATTTTTCTGGGCCATTAGTTAATGTTTATTGAGTACCTTTATGAACCTTGCAGGCCTAGGGGTTGGGGGGGGGGGTGGTCGTTGAGACGTGCATGGCCCCGGCACTCAGGGAACTGACAGTGACTCAGTGGCATGAGGTGTCCCAAGGCATGACAGTCAATCAGGTGGCCTGGTCTTAAGATACGTAGAATGACAACCTAAAAGTGGTAACTTCTTGCCTAGGCACCATACTGCAGGGAAGTTTACCTGTGGCCCCCACTGCAGCCTCGGTAGGCCCAGCACCCCACGTTGGCCTTTTCTCATCCCGTCCATCGGCCTCTGAGAGCCGTGCCTGCCCCTGCCTCTCCAAGATGGTGCGGAGTCCGGCTCTTCTCCCCCGAGGTCCGCGGTGATTTACCCTGCGCGACAGCTCCGAGCTGCGCTCGCGCTTTTCAGCTCCAGCGTGTGCCTGGCGCCCTCCCCAGACCAGGCGGCACAGAGCGTCCAGAGACCCGGCCAAGGGCAGGACCTGCAGCAGCGCCCGCCCGGCCTGCTCACGGACGTCAGCTCCAAGGGCGTGGCAGGGCGGGGTCCCCTGCGCCCCAGTAGACGACGCTCAGGTCCTGGGTGACCACTTTCCGAGGGAGCCCGCCATCCCCTGTGGCAGTTATTTGGAGAGCCGGAGCGGGGGCGCAGGGCCGGAGGGCTCCCCGCGGCCGCCCCCCAGGGTCCTCCGGGAGCCGAGTCCTGCTGGAGCAGGAGCGCCCGGGAGCGAGAGGAGGGCGGAGGAAAGTTGAGGGTCAGGGGGCCGCGGAGCCGGGAGCGCGGAAGCCGGGGCCGGTGTCCGCGCCTCATGAATATGCAGGAGCCGCCTCCCTCCCTCCGTGACGTCACGGGCCGTCCCGGGGTGAGCGCCGGAGCAGCTCGGGGTCCGCGCCAGTGAGCGCGGCTGCTGCCGGCGGGCGAGCGGCGCGGCGGCGGGTGGGCACCGAGGCCGAGCGCGGCGGCGCCGACGCGCACCGAGCGGGCAGGGCGAGGCGGCGCGGCCCGGCGGGCACCGGAGGCGAAGCCGGCGCGGGCAGCAGGCGGCAGCGGCAGCTGGTCGGCGGCGGCGGCGAGGATGCTGCCTGGGAGGCTGTGCTGGGTGCCGCTCCTGCTGGCGCTGGGCGTGGGGAGCGGCAGCGGCAGCGGCGGCGGCGGCGGCGGCGGGGGCAGCCGGCGGCGCCGCCTCCTCGCGGCTAAAGGTGGGTGCTGGCGAAGTTTCTTCCTCTCCGAGGAGGAAGACAGGGCGGGCGTGAGGGTGCGAGCGGCGGGGACCGGGGCTCACGCTAGATCTGCACGCCCTCCCTTGCCGCAGCTTCCCCGGCCTCTGTGCGCCCAGGATGCCCGAAGTGAGCGCCCTGCGCCCTGGACCTGAGAGGTTCCACCAGCAGACGCCGGCCCAATCTCTGGGCGGGGTCCGGGGACCGAGGAGGAGCGAGGTCTGGGGAGTCTGGACAACTTTGGGGGCTGTCTGTGCTGGGGAGGGGGCGTAGTGGGTGAGTCGCGGGCTCCGGCCGGGAACAGCTCGAGCAGGGCGCTGGCGCGGGGAGGAGAGGAGAGGCAGTTGTCTACCTCTGCCCTGAGGGAGGGATAAGCGGCGGTGCCTTCAAAGCAGGGAGCAGAGCCTGTCTCCCAGCTCGCGGATGGGGTGGGAACTTGTAGGCTCCAGGGAAGGCCCCCCCTGGCTCGCCTCAGGTTCCCCCAGGGCGGCTCTGGCTCCCCTGGGAACGCGCGCCCGCTGGGTGGGCCGCGGAGTCCGGAAGAAGCGCTCCCCCCTACCTCGCCGACTCGGCTCCGGCTCCCGCGGGCACAGGCGCCCAACCTGGTGCCCCTCCCCCGCCCACCTTGTTAGGTTGGAGGTCGTGACCTCCCCACTCCTTCCGCCCCGAAGGAAGCCGGATCCCGGCGCACGCCTGGCGCCGTCAGGAGACTGGAGGCTGGCGAGCCGCGGACTCTGCTGCCTGGGAGCGCGGTGGGGAGCGCTGGGGTGGGGGCGCCAGGAGTGCGCCTCTGAGACAGAAGGTCACGTGCTCGTAGGACCCTAGGTGCGGGCAGAGGCGAGGGAGGTGTATCACTGGGCTGGGGGCGGGGCTGGGGGCGCAGGGGAGGCAGTGGTAGATGGGGGCTGGAGCGCCCAGCTTAGACAGAACTTGTTGATTCTCTGTGCTGTTGACGAGGAGGGCGTGCGCTTGGGTTGAGTGCTGAGGCCAAGTCTGCCAGGTAACCCGGAGAGGGGAGCGTGGTCGCTGGAATCTCGCCTGACCATCTTCTGAGGACCCAGGGGTTTGCGCCTGTAGGTGAAGAGACTCCGTGTTAGAGGCGAGCTGGCTTTGAACTCGAGCTTACCAGTGGCTCAGGGAGGGGATGTAGACCAGATCTAACTGCTCTTGGAGGCTGGAGGATGAGAGGCACATAGTTCCCCTCCTCTGGGCCTCGGAATGTCTCTCCCGCAACTTGAGAGTGATCAATTTCAGAATACGAGAGTTTCTGATCATCCCGTAATCTTCTAATTTTTTGGTGATGTGACTGAAATTATTGTATAAGCAGACATCCTGTTTCTTTTCAGCAATTTCCCCCTCTGGTATATCCTTGAGAGGCAGTTTCTTTTCTTGGAAGACAAAGAAAAACATTACGAAAATGTTTCAAACGTAGTGTGGTGAAGGAATCGCTGATGTGAAGTGATCATTCTGAGAGACTGTTGTTTTGGTGAAAACAAGAATGAAAAACAATGAACTTCCAAACCTTTGGCCTCCTTCCCCCATATAGACACCTTGTTAAACAGGGAAATGGCATGTTTTTGAAGAATTCTCATCACTTTGTAGCAGAGCAAATGGTATATTCATAAGCAGATGTCTACAACGGGGAGCTCGCAGCCAGCGAGGGTTGGGGAGTGCCTCCGCTGGGCAGGGGAGCTGGCGTCCTTGCACACTGCACTGCCGAGTTCTCAGGTCCACATGGAGAGCTTTGCAGGCAGAAGAGAGAAAGATTAAAAAGAAGAAAAATCCAGCCTCTCAGTGATTCATGTTTTATAATGTGAATACTTATGTGCATTTTAACCAACACTTTTCATCGTCCCCACTTAGAACATAGTCGTTTCGTGGTGAAAATAAGCCATTTGTCTTTCCCGTGTAAAAAAGTTGATTGGCCCTGCGCAGGCTGAGGTACTGTCTGAATGCCCTGTTCTTCCTTCTTTCCCCTTGCAACCACTGGGGGGCTGCAAAGAGCGCCGTTAGCTGCATTTTTTTTTTTTTTTAAAAAGACAAATGGGTAATGTTTGATCAAAACAGAGACATTTATGATGACACTTTAGTTGGTATTTACAGGACTGACTTTCCTTATTACAGTGCACTTGCATGTTACGTTTCCAAATCTCACACAGTCTCTGAAGAACATTAAGATAAAGGTGTGCTTCACAGGGTCTGCACCCTGCCACTGACTTTGCCATTTCTAAGGTTCATATCATTGTTATTCCCGTCACTGAAAGGGAGAAAAGTCAGGAAGGCATGTGAAGAAGATTGAACGAAAAATAGCTTTCTTCTTCCTTCTAGTTCTGTATTCATGTGTAGAAGAAAATTGGGAGTTTGGTGTCCCACTGAGCGGTGGAGTTGAGCGCACCCTCTGGACACTGTCTGGAAGCGCGCCCTCCCAGCTTCCCGCTCCTGTGAGATGTCGCCTCCGTGGTTCACAGCGTGTCCTTGCTGTGAGAATACTTGCATATAGACCCTCAGTTATGGTAGTGCCCACCTGTGTGCCCAGAGGCTGCCCAGTGCTCTGGAGGAGCCTTAGCAGACATCAGATGACCACCCCCACTCCCATCTCACCTTTAGCCTTCTTTGCGAGCTTTGCTCTAGTTGGAGAGAGGAGATTTTTATGTGGAAATTTTAAGAGAATGACAGCAGACAGAATTTGTCCAAAGTGTGGTACTATGTGATGGGGGCAGTCAAGGGAGGTGGGGGTAGGAAGAGAGCCTGCAAAAACAGCATTTGGTGATAGGGAGGGGAGAAGACAGAGCTGAGTTGTAACAGTAACAGTATCACTGTCAGGAGCACAGTGTGGGAGCCCCTCCCTAGTGGGTAACGGGCGCTGTGCTAATCCCTTCCCTGGGCCGTCTCTAATTTTTACAACCTCTGCAGGGCTGGTGTTAGCCCATTTCACAGATGAAGAAACCAAGCCTGAGAGAGGGTAAATGACTTGCCAAGACAACTAGTTAGAGGGTGTGGCACTAGGATGTGCATAAGAAGGGTCCTCATGCCCAGTGGCCCCTGACTGATCATCAGATATTTTCCCCTTTGGTTTTAAAAACAGATCTAGCGGCGACAAGGAAGCTGAGCTCTTGGTGTCTCTGAGTCCCCTGGAGCCCTTGTGGTCCTGCTCACAGCCGTGGGAGAGTCCAGGGTTGTTGTTTAAAAGGGGCCTGCCGGTGAAGTGAGGGAAGTGGGCCTTGCTTTGTCATCTGGGGAAACTAGTGTTCTTGCTAGTAGCATCATCCTCCCTCCTGCAGATTCAAAAAGCATCCTTGCGTACTCTAGATTGCACAGTGCACAACTTCCTGCAGGGTGAAGCTGGTATGGAATGTTTATGGTGAATTGTCCTAGATCATCTCTGGCCAGGTAGCACGTGTCTCCTTGGAGTGTGACAGTTATTTCCCCAAATGAAATGCCACGAAAAGCCCTCAGCAGTGCGTCAGAGGGTGCACTCTGACCTGCCGTCATCCTGAGTCACCTTTGGTTCCTGGACCAGGATGTGCTCGTTCCTGTCCTGGACCTTCTGGACTGTCCTCAGGCCAGAAGGTCTTCCTCAGCCTAATTCCTGTTGTTATTCAAGACATGGCCAGGCTTGGGCATGGCCTCCGCTGGGAAGCTTCCTAGACTGGTTCCCAGGCTGGTCACCCCCAGAAGACTGTGGCTCTCCCTCTGGCATGCTGTGCTCCTTGTCTGGCTCCAGCACTGCCCTGTGAGCTCCAAGGGCTGGAATCTCATCCTGGCTCTGCCCGCATCTCCAGGGCCCCCCGCTGCTTGGCCTCGGGGTGTGAGCAGAGCAGTCGGTAGTGACTGGCATTGGGAATCCACTTGTTTGCAATTGTGATTCTGTCGTGTCTTGACATAGACATTTTCTCTCTCTGATATGAAGTAAAATTTGGGCTTGGTAGCCAGAGAAACCTGGGTTCCAGTCCTGGTCCTTACCTTCCTAGCTGGATAGTCTTGGGCAAATTAGTTAACCCCTTTGAGCCTCAGTTTGCTTATCTATACCATGGGGATACGAGCATCTACCTTGCAAGGTGGTTGTCAGGACAGTGCTTAGAAAGCCCACTTCACGGCACGTAAATGGCGCTTAATACGCAGTGACTGTAATTACTGATCACTTCATCACTGGTTCTAGTGTCTGAGATTTGGTGAAATCCCCTCTTTCTGACCCCTTGGCAATCAGTAGCTTTGTTCACATCTTCTCTCAGCTCAAACTCGGTGCTCTCTGTCTCTGTCTCTGTATGTGCATGTGTGTGGAAGTATCATATATAAATATAAATACATGTTCACACGTGCACAGACACACATGCACATTTGGCTTGAATTGTGAAAACGTCTGCCTCGTTCACTAGTCTGTGAAAGCCTTGGAGGTCAGGGCCCCTGTCTCACTCATCCCAGCTCAGAATAAGGACTCGGCAAGGTGTGCTATATAAATAAATAAACGTGTCTCCCAGTGTCTCCCAAGTGCCGGCACTGGAGGTGAGGGGTTCTCGTTTCTGGAGGAGGAGCTTCTGGGATGTGATTTGGGCTGTAAGGAGAGGCCCCTGCCCAGGTGGCGCTTTCCGCCCAGCCCTGCTGTCCAGGAAGCTCAGCAGCGTCCTTTCTTTGTTGAAGACAGTGACGACTTCTGTGACGATGCATGTTTTGTGTGGAAGGGGGTAACTGAAGCTATGATGACCAAATGACAGTTTGAAACAGATTCTCATTTTATTATTTGTTACCTAGCCCTTTGCTTCCTGTGGAAATGCTTCCACGGGAATGGTAGGTTGGAGGATGGACCATGGGAGGACTGAACTGGGGGAGGAGTTCTGAGCTGAGGACACAGGCACAGAACAGGACAGAGGTCACCCTGTTAATCAGCTGGGGCTGCTATAACAAAAGTGCTGTAGACTGGCTGGTTTAGAAACAACGGAAGTTGATTTCTACAGTTCTGAAGGCTGGAAGTTGGGGATCAGGGC